CAAAATTTCAAATATTGTATAACAAGACAAAACTGCAAACAAGACCGCAAATTGTTTTCTCACTCTTAACTAACTGAAGCCTTTCATTGAACAACCAAATAAACACACTTTTACCCTCTTTCTGGCCAGACACGTGGCAGCATTTCTGCTATAATTTTGTTCATATTTAACAAAATAAAAATACAGACACAAGTGTACACTTTAGTTTTTAACTACTTTTGAAAATTGTTTTGTTTACAAATACCTCTCTCACTGAACTAACACAGCCAATCCCAACATGTTTGCACTCTTTGCTTATATTGCCTTCATATTAAATCATTTTTTGCCCTTTAAATACCTTATTTTAACATTACACTTAACAACATACAAATCCTCCCTAACAATAAAAGTAAAAAGGCCAAATTGCATTATATTTCTTCACGTCAATATACGGGCCACAAGTAGGGGTGACGTGGGCCGCAAGTGGCCCCCGGGCCAAAAGTTTGAGACCCCTGCTCTAGAGTGATAAAATCCTGTATTCTTGTCTTTTATCAGAAAGTCCTGGTGGTCACCCAAACTGAAGTCCAGCACATCATTCAAGAGAGGATGAAGGAGCTCCAGGAACTTAAGCATAATATTGATGTTCTAAAAGTAAGATCATAGCCTGGTCCAACACAAATTACTTTTCTTCATAGTAAATTTGACATGGTCTCATTTTTTTTACAGAACTGTTACATGTTAATACCATTATATAAAGGAATCCAGTGGTAATATCAAGGATGACTATTGTAACTAAAAGCTCCTGGAAAAAACTGTCTTTACCTTTCAGAGTGCAGCCCAGCGAGCACAGGCAGAAAGTGACAAGACCTTCCATGAAATGCTGCAGGCAGTTGAACGCTGGAAGTCTGAAATCAATCAGATGATAATGGCCAACATGCAATCAGCAATGTCACAGGCTGACGGCTATGTGGATCGTCTGGAGCAGGAGATAATGGAGCTACAACGTCAAGATGCAGAATTACGGCAGATCCTCGAGACGGAGGACAACATTTACTTCCTGCAGGTACTGGAAAATCAGTCAGAGCTGCAATAATTCATCTCTGTCTTTCTTGCTTTGTAATGTAGCACAGAAAAAACAGTTAATGTACTTATCACTTCCAGCGCCTGTTGCTATAGCATACTCAGTATTTCTTGCTACCTTGTTACACTGACTAACACAAAACATGACCACGACTTCTTTATGTATGTATTTATGTTTTTAGTAAAAAAAAATCATTACACTTCTTTTTCTCGATAAAAAACAGAGTTTCCCAACCCTGTGTGTTGCTCCTGAGGCCATGGTCCCCAAAGTGCTAATTAACCCTCAGTTCTCCTTTGGAGAGATGAGCAAAACGGCCAGTGACATGAAAGAAAATCTGGATGACATCTGTAAAAAGGAAATGGGCAAACTCTCCAAGACAGGTTTGTTCCAGTAGTCATTGTTAACACTTCAATTACCTTTTACTGGCTCACTAGTTTTTGCTGCAATCTAAATATAAATTAATTTATATTTTTACAGTGAGTGAAACTCCCGTGTACATATTGTTGCCAAGAAATGGAAGCAAACGACTCAAAGGTAAGTGAGTTGAATAATTTCATTTGTGCTATTTTGTACATGGCTTGCAATTTTTTTAAACATAATATTGTTGCACATTTTATAACATATGTTATGTTTTTATATTCAAACAGTTCCTTCGAATGTAGATTTTCAGGAGCCAAAAAACAGAACAGACTTCTTGAGATGTAAGTACATTTTATGGTTCAGAATTAGTACTCAAAAGCAACATTTTAATGTTATCTAAACAGAAGACATTTATAAATGTATGTTGTGGCTGTGTTTTCAGATGCCTGCAAGCTGTCCTTTGATCCTAACACAGTTTATAAAGAGCTGGTTTTGATAGATGGGAATCAGAAGGTCACCCGGAAGAAAACAACCCAGTTTTACCCAGATCATCC